TGATTCTCACGATGTCCCAAAAGATCAACGAACTCCATGAAGCGAAACGAAGATCTACAAGATATTAATTAAATTATAAATATATCAATTAATGTGAATATGACTGAAAATTTTCATTTTTTCTGAAAAGGTGGTGTCTATTTACTTGTGACCACACTGTGTATTTATCGAGTCCCGAATAATTAGTGTATAGATATATAAATGCTTTCGCTTGTAAATAACAATGTTCTCCCCCCCCACACACATATATACACAAAACATAGCAAAAGATTCTTGTACGATTAACTATAAAATATTTCTACTTTACTTTAAGAAAATACTATTATGATTATTCCAAAATCATATTTTGTTTTCTTAATTAGCTTATTCGTCATAAGAGCTCATTAGATGGATTATATCTGAGTCATTATTTCCTGTGGTTAATTCTTCAATAATGTTAAGTGTTTTAAATTGCTAGACTAATTAATGTTGTTAATGTAGGGGGGGGGGGAACATCTGTGTATGGTCTCTACATCACACAACTTTTGTTTAATGACCGTCGTATAACAATCAACAAAAAACAACGGAGTCACAAGTAACGTTTTTTCTTTTAATGTAGCGTTGTTACAAAAGATTGATAATATAATTACTCATTTTATTAGTATTATTTTTAGTTTTGTTGGATACGTTTTGAGATAAACACTCATCACAGTAAGATAATTTAATCAAAAAGCTTGAATAACTTTGAATCTATATATATATACGTCAATATGTGCGTGTGTATCTGTTCCTTATACCTTTCCACATTTCTTGAGCAATCAGCACCTGACTTGACACAGTGATACAGGATGACATGAAAAAGGTCATGAGTGGGGAGGGAGTTGGAACACTCATTTTGGAGAAAACTACAAATGTTGTATATCCCTCAGCATTAGATTGAACTACGTAACCACTATTGCTAGATTTCTTGGAAATAGTATGTCTTTCTTTTCAGTATTGGTACCTTTGTGTATTTTTATTGCACGTCTAAAAAAAAAATAGATGCACAATTTCATATCCTCTGTTACAAACATGTTTATATTTCACCCGTCCTTTGAACGGGTACTCCAACTAGTATAAAATATAACATTTAAAAACACAGTCTTTTGAATTTTAATTAAATAAAAATTAATTAAAAACCAAAAATATAGAAACAAAAATGTAACTTAGCGGGTATATGAATTATTTCTTTCTTTTCATGATGTTTATTGGACCTTCTACTTACAAATATTGAAGTTTTTCAACGCATTCTGTTTGGTTATCGATAAGCGAAAAGCTGCACAATAAGCTATCTATGCTCTGCCAATCACGTGTATGAAAATCCGATTTGTAGTGTCGTAAGCAAATAGGCTTTCTGCTGGGCCACTGGAGTTATGGGGGGGGGGGAGAAATTCAACGCATTCAAAAAACCCAGCATCACGAAACAAACTTGATGAACTTTTATGACTCGTATATGAAACCTGTCTGTTATGTATCACTTAGAATATGGTTTTCCATAGTTTGATGGTTGGGGCGATCGACTCGCAATCTGAGGGTCGTTGGTTCGAATCTTCGTCATCGAACATGCTCGTCCTTTCAGCCGTGGGGGCGTTATAATGTGACGGTCAATCCCATTATTCTTTGATAAAAGAGTAGCCCAAGAGCTAGCGGTGGGCAGAGTTGACTAGCTGCCTTCCCTCTAGTCTATCACTGCTAAATTAAGGACGAATGGCGCATATAGTTCATGTAGCTTTGCGCGAAATTCATAACAAATCGGACTATCTAGAATATACCTTGGATCAAGGTGTGATTGTGGTCATTTCTAAATAACACATCTCTGTGAGAAGAAAATTCACTAAGAAATGTATCATGTAAAATGTAAATTACCTGAGAAAGGTGTCTGCCACATAAACCTTATAGATACGTAATGTAAAAGTAAGTAACATAAACACGCAACAATTGGAGAATACTAGGCCCCTTTTTAATTGCAACTGGAACAAGTAGCAACATGCATGCACAGTTAAATACAATAACATAATACACAATTTTGTAAATACTCTATAAAAAAAGCTTAACCCACAGCACCTAAAAGGTAAATACGGTAATATAATGCAGAACACTATGAATTACGTTTTACAACAAAAATTACAAAAAAACAAACACAATACCCAATAGCAAAAATTAAATACAGTGGCAAGTAAATAAATTTATATCATATAGATCCATTTCACATTGAAAACCACGTGAAACACGATATAAGATGATATCATACCTAGAACTAAACACCCAGCTAAGCACGTGAATATGAACCAGGAAAGGAATAAAAATCATATTATTTTAATGAAAAGAAAAGTTAGCCAGCCATTCTAAAGATTATGAGTAAAGAATGAAAAACTAACTCTTTAACGTGGTTTTATTGGCTGACTCATCCATAATGAACCAAACAATGACCTAAAAGAAAAATGATCTTTCGAAACACAAACACAAACTCTCTAAAAGTGTTCGAATGCATTGTATATTCCAAGCACGTTCCTGTTCGTTGCTCAGCTTTAAGTTTAATTGAATATTATAACGCTCACCTGAATTTTGGTTTTAGTTTGCAGGTTTAAGTGAAATCGTAAACTTTATTAATTAAGGCGATAAAACATAATAACATATGCGTTTTATCTGGTAAATTATTTCGTGGTATCAAAGGCCTAGAAATCGTAATAACATGCAATTGTTGATTCGACAGATACTAAAGTGCTACAAATAAGGTTCTTACTTCATAGAGCAATAACATAATTCCTGTCCTGTTCCGTTTTAACCTAGTTTCGTTCTACATCAATGCACACGTTTTACTATTCATTGCCTCTACAAATTGGCTTCGACTAACAAACTCAAACTGAAATTTCAAATGTTCTCAGTAGCATATTTGTATACAGTTTCCAAACAATAGCTCACCAAATACCTTGTACTTCGTTTAGAGATAAGATATACGTCATTACAGTGACGTGCACGGGGGGAGGGGGGGGGGTCTGTGGGACTCAATCTCCTACCTTCCTAAAACTCTTATGCCCCAAAAGTGCCCTTTTCTTAGCCATTAAACATTTTACACAACTTCTAAAAGATACACATGATTCTACAGCAAAATATTAATAATAATTGTGATGTTATTAAGTTTTATTAGGGAATAATTCACTGGTTAGTTTTAGGTTTGAAATTGTTAATAAGC